ACTTATGGGAATATGGAGATAATGAAATTAGGCATTGTGAATTGTCATTTTCTGGGGCCTATCTAGATAGAGGAAGTCATTAATCATTTTGCCACCTGCACATGTTTGTATTTATAAGAATACAAATAGAGATGTGTACTATCCTAAGGAGATTTTGGAACATCTCAACTGTTGATAAGTGAAGTCTACTGTAATGTATTTATTATATTTCATAATGTATGTATACATGTATTTATTACATTTCATAATGTACTAGCAGTAGAGCCCAGCATTGCCCGTGGATATAACAGTAAGAGATAGATCAAGTATCGACCATCATAAAGACTGAAAAATAAAATTGACAAAGATTATTGTTTAAGGTTGACGGACATGCATGTCTTAATTAATCTTTTCTTTTTTACGGATTGGTCAAACCCAAATTCAAACAAAAACATTGTTTTCAATCATTATGAATCTACCGATTGAATAGAATTTTATTATAAACAATTGTCTTGTAAATGGAATTTTTAAAGCATTCTGAATGTAAAAATAAAGAAAAAAGTGTGCAAGACAATAAGAAACACTACCTGCCAAAAAAAAAAGTGAAGTTTTGTTGAAATCTGTTAAAAAATGTAGGAAATCCGATCCCATATATAAACGAACGAACACACACACACAACCTGGGTTTTATAAGTATAACTCGATATGAGTTGTCCGCCTTTCATTCTCGCAACAGCGATGCCTCTTAATCGTGTTTTCAAATTGATTTCATGCAAAAACAATTGTGTTTTTCCAATTTTTGGCACTGTCAGAACTACCGCAAGGTAATTTTATGTAGTCCTGTGAAGTTTAGTTGAAATCGGTTGAAAAATGTAGGAAATTTGATCCAATATATAAACGAAGAGACACACACACACACACACACAACCTGGGTTTTATAATAAGTATGATGTATATGTGATTATTATTTTTGTTTTCCCCTTCTTTTTAAATTGGTACTTTAAGACAAGAACAGCCTTGCAATTAACCAGAACAACATAAGAGAATATTTTCTTTGTTATTTATATGTGTAATTGAAGAAAAATAAAAGGATTCCAGTTTAAAGCCTGCTTAAAGTAACAGCAATAAAATCACATTGGCCAATTATAATAATGATGTGTAGTAAATTATAATTGAAAAAGTTAAGTGTCCCTAACATTCTACCCAGGGTGGTAGCACCTGTTAGGGTCCCAGCTATGGGCAATTAGTGATTCCCCCAAACAAAAACAAAATACTATGAAAGTATAAAAATATATTTTTATAGCAAAATGACCAACAATACATTTTATTTTTAATTGAAGGTATAAAATTGTGTTCAAAATATTTAGATATTGGCATTAAATAACTCATCAAAGTTGATATGCCACTAAACAACCAACCAAGTGAATTTATTTATAAATTTTTCCAGTTTTTAAGTAGCTGAAATTTTAATTAATTTTGTGGGCTATCTACAAAAGTTACCCCCCCCATCATATATATTTAATTTTGTTTCTGAGTATATTACCAGGGCACAATGGACCAAGATCTTTTTGCTGTCTTAAACAGAAGTAATCCCAACAGATATATATATATATATATATATATATATATATATATATATATATATATATTCTTTTTTATTGTATTTTTTTATTTCATTATTATCACTTTATGGTAACATCAATTTTTTTTGTGACCCTCTTTTTTATTTTTCTCTTCTTGTTTAGCAATTCTATTTCTACTGCTATTATTAAATTTTGTATTCTATCTAAAATATATATTTATGATGTTTATTTTATTTTATATGGTTATTAATTTCTTGCTTCTCTCTTTTCCAGAATTGCAACAGATGGATACAAATTAGAATGGTCAGCTCAGGATGGGTACAGAATCTGAAGACAAAAATTGGTTGGCCCCAAAAATTGAAATATTCTAAATATGTATGTATAATATGATTATTAATATTCACTTAACCAAAAATATCTTAAATCCAATATTCTTCTTTTTAATATATTGATATTTTCTTTTTTACTCATCCATTTTGGCTACATTTCCCATTTAGAGATTGGTAAGAATGAGTGCTTCTTTTTATTCTGCAAAATGTAAGGAATTTATTGTAATGAATTTTTATTCTTTTGTGGATATCTTCCTTTGAGGACTTTGCTTTTAATATTTTCAGTCTCCTGTGCATACAGAAAATCTTTTTTTTCTCCAAGAATTCTTCAGACTATTGAACTCATTCTCTTGTGTTGTTTTTGTTATTACCACAGCATTTCAGCCAATCCATTCTACAGTCTTCTTCAGGTGTAGAATCAATAAGGAAACAAGTTTTTCTTTTGAGATGAAATAGTGGCTCCTATATATATATATATATATATATATATATATATATATATATATATCATCCACAGACAGTTTTGCTGTATCACAGCACATCAGTGTGGCTTGACATCAGTCAGTCTTTTACCCCTAGGCTATCAGCACATGGCAGAGAAAGGGAATTTTTAACGCATCATATACGTGATATATAAATGCCATAGCGCTCAATTCTTACGAAGAGTGAGACATGAGCCACTATTTCATACATATATATATATATATAATATAATCAGTAATGTAAGCTCAACAGACAATTCCATTCTTAACATCTCTTGTTACGGAGTGGGGGGTGTCTTGTTTTCTGCAGGAATGCACTTCAATTTCATGTCTGCTCAGCAAAGAAATCAACATAGTGCTCTGTGACAAAAGACATGACTTACCTCAGAATTCAAAACGAGCATGAACGTGTTTTGCTTGCAAAGTGATGACAAAAAGAAATATAGCCACTATTGAAGACACAATTTATGCGCGCCTATCTTGTCCAAAACGAGACAATATTTGCACACATGCAAATTTTGGCTGTCTTGGAATAGCATAAAAATTAGGGTGCCAGCAGCACCAAGCGTCGGAGAGTCATTCAGCGGACTGCATGTAATAGAGTTGGACGTACGGATTGACAGGCAGATAAAGATCAAGTCGAAGTAGGCATGACTGAGTTGGTGTCTGTTTCACAACTGCCCAGTGTAACGGTTGAGAAAACGAGTCACACAATCCATTTCCTTGAGGCAACTGAAAAAGAAAAAAAAATAGCTGGCCTGTCATCGAGCGATGCACTGCACTTTTTGAACCCAATTTTTTTTCTCTTTCTCCTACATGCTCATTTACATACTCCTGTCTATCAATTTAATATATGCTGTATCCTTCAATTTTCTCACTCCTCTGGGATATAATATTTTTGTTTTAAGTCTTATAATATTTCTTTCCATTAAAAAAAACAATTTATGAAAGTTTTATGAAATTATTGTAGAAACTTAGAAAGTTGTCTACATGTTAAATTTTGAAGGCTTCCAAAAATTGTTTATTAAAATGAATAGTCTGCTATTTCATGTTACTTCATGTTTCTTTAAACATGAAGTAGAAACCTCTGGAATAAGATTTTACAAAATCTGATTTGGTATAAAAGATATTAATAGCAGCTCACCTTTCAACAAGCAAGAATTAAACCTGACAAGAAGTAACTTAGATATGAGGAAAAAAGTTAAATTTAATTAAACATGCAAGTTAGATGTATATTCCGTGATGCTGATAGGTTTTTAATGTATTGGACCCTAACTAAAGTTTCTTAATAAATTGTAGTGCTAAACCACAGGACTCTAAAATAATTTTTTTTTTTTTTTTTTTTTTTTTTTTAACCATCATCCTGAAAAACATTTATAATTGTCCTGAATCACTTAAACTGACAGAACAAAGGTTTTATTTTGGGGGGCGGGAGGTAATTGACAGAACATTTTTTTTTTAATAAATTTAAAACAAAATCATTTACTCACAGTTCAATTAAGAAACTATATTTTGTGGGTAGAAAAAACAGCACAAATTTCTTTATTTTTTAAATTGATAGAAGAAAGTGTTTTTTTTTTTGTTTTTTTTTAAATTGACAGAATATTTTTTTTTTAATTGAATATGTTGACTTTGGTTTCTTACAAAAAATGAATTTGATTTGTTAAACTTTCCTTTAAAAAATTTAAGAAATTTCCTTTGAATTAGCTTAAAAATATGGGACTAATCAGTTGTTGATGCCCCAACTTTCACATCTGTATGATACAAAATTCAAAGAAAATATTTTTTCTGTGACAACATAAATAGCACCAAAATAAATTAACAAATAAAATAGTTGAGTATACTGTCTGTGAACAAAACATTGCACACATTCAAATAAAAACAAAATGGTGAAATGCCAAAGCAGCATCAAAATCATAAGATTGCTGATTTTAACACATGAACAAAACTTTCTCATGACCTTGACAAACTGTCACCAAGATCTTTTAGTTTGAAATTAAACAACTAAATCAAATGTGATTTTAATTGAGAAATTAACCCAGTCAATCACTATGAAACATTTAGCACTCAGTGCCATCTGTGATACATGCTTAGGTGATCATGTATCTTTCGATACATGACTGATGAGGTAGATTTTTTCCCCATAGTAGGGTGCCATTTCTTTCTGCAGTAGACCAGTTGCCATCCAAAACTATAGAACTCGATCTGTCCTGCTATTTACCCATAGCTGGGGGAGAAAAAGGATTCATACCTTTCCCAAGGGTATTAGCACTTAAGTGAATGTAATGGATTTGACTGGAATTCAAACTAAACTGAAACAGTGGAAAGTATATTGAGAAATATCAAATGATGCAGATATGTTTGTGGTGTATTATAAGCTGATTAATGTGAATAATCTCAATAGCATTTGCCAATGATTATGTGTACAACTTTCTCTGCTTGACCTCTTTCCATTTGGTTATTGTCTCTTCAAAAGGGAACTCTCACTTTTTGGGCCCCAGGTTAACCTTAAGAAGCTGCACTTGATGTTCCGGTGAGGATGAGGTTCTGAGCAGAGAATCATCGTTCATAGCTTAGGTGGGGGCCAATTGAACAAGGATGTTGAAGTTGAGGAAATCTTTTGTTTAAGTGATATTTTGTCACCAATGCCCAAAGTTTCTACATGCTGGGTAGTGCTATGCTTTGACAACTTTATCCAGCAGGTCCCGCTCCAGTTGAGATTGAACAGCATTGATCAGGTGCTGGGTAGTCAGTCCATTTGTGGGTTTGCTCATGTCCATAGTGAGCAGTTAGAATTTCCAACTTCCCCTCTCCATTAGCTCTTCCTAATTCAATGAAGCAGATGGGATGGAAACTCAACACACCAAATGCACACAAACTGGAGTACATGTTACTTATCAAGTTACCCAAGTTTTACAGGTTGATAAAAGAAGATGTGGTTATTTCGTGTCTCTGGGAACTTGCTCCGCAGTGGGGATGATAGAGCAACCCCACTGGCTAGTTAAAAATGTACACATTGACATGTTTAATAAAGTAGTAAGTCAAAATCCCTTTTGTTGAAGTTCTCATTTTACCCACAAACAAACCAACTAACGATCATCTGACCGAGAGAAGAAAGAAAGGAAGACAACTTTATTATGATCGCCTCAAAACAAAAAGATCCCCAGCACAAAGGAGCTATACAACAGTATTTCAATGATGACATGAATAGACATTGAAATGTTAACAAAGCCACTTTTCTTTTGTTAAGCAAAGATTGATTATTTACAAGCATATTTTTCAAACTTACTTTGATTATTAATAAGTATCTATAATTTTTATTTCATACTTTCATTTATGCTAATCATATTGCAATGTATCATTATTAGCTTGTATTCTTTCTTTTTCAGAGGCTCGTTGAATCTGCTTACCGATTATATATGTGTGCTGTTGAGATCCCAGACTATTTTAGTATGATTCATGGTAAATGATTATTCACAAACTTCTAGTAAAACAAAATGTACAAGATTTACTTTGACAAATTTATGTGTTCATAAAATAAGTTTATAAGCATGTCTTGACATGATACACTTCATATATTGCAAGTATTGTGTGAGTTTAATAAAAAAAAAGTTACATTCCTTATCAAGACCAGGAGATCCCGAGATTAATTTTACTTTAATTAAATTGATTGATTTGTTTTTTACAGTTTATTGCCCTCCATTTTTTTTTTTTTTTTTTTTTTCTAAGATTGTATGACTTTTTTAATTATTTATTTATTTTTTTGAGACAATAATGGTTTAGTGATACATATTTTACTAATTAACCCATAGCTGGGTGGAGATGAGGTAGATTCATACCTTTTCCAATGATATTTGCATGGAACTGAACATAATAAACTCAAATGGAACTCAGCTCTCTGATTAACAATTCCAGACCATTATCCATTACACTATTTTGGAATACCTGATGCTGCTTAGGTATTCCAAAATGGTCACCCATCTAGGTACTGACCAGGCTCGGCATTGCTTAACGTTGGTGATCATACAAAGATCAATGTTTCGATGTGATGCAGCTGTAAGCCTGTCTTGATTAAATTAATATATACCAAGGAGAATTTAATTTTAATATTAGTTAATAATAATAAATAATTAAATTTTGTGGGATGTTATAGATTTTACTTTCTTTTTTTTTTTCATAAAAAAAAACTTTAAAATAAGAATTATCTGAATTAACGTAGCCTTCATAAATTTAGCTTTTTGAAAAAAATTAATAATAATTAATGATGCTTCATATTAAAAATTCAAAATGTGATTTGCTTATAAGTAAAAAGGTCATTTCTTTCTATTCTTTTATATGTTCTGTTTTTCAGATTTAAAAATTTTATTATTTTAGAAATTACTTTTCAAAATTTACTACTCATTTTAATAGGCAATAAAATATTCTCTATTTAAGACACAAGGAAAACCTTTGTTTCATTTTCAACATTTTGATTTCTACAGATTGAACAGGAGAATGCTTGTTTTTCTTTCTTTTCCTGCTAGAAAAAGTGAAGCACAAAAATAACAGTAATATTAAAAAGTTAAAAAGGAAATGTTCTTTGTGCTCTATCATAGCTTATGAGACTTTGTTCAGCTAATGTTACAAAAAACCCCACCTCAATCTTAAATACTTTATCTTATAATAGACTCTAAGGTTAACAGCATTTCTGCAAAAATCCAAATAATAGTAAAGTTTCATCTGTATTGTCATCATTAGCTTTATAGAAAATTCCTCCTTTATTTACATTGTTGGCTTTTCAATCTATTTCAGATTTACAAATGCCTGACACTTATTATTCATGGCATTTAATATCAGAGTTACATATATGGTAAGTTGTTTTGCATTTCTGATAGAATCAAAAATATTTTTTGCTTAAATACTTATTTATTCTTAACCCTACTAGCTGTTAAGAGATTTCAGTTTCAAACCTCGAGTCCTGACTGAATTGTTGAAAAATCGGAGTATGTGATGTTAGTGCAATAAAATTAATATATCACAAAAACCACAAGAAATTGAGTATTACAAGCTGATTTGATATGAAAGTAAATTAATTTCTTTTTCAAATGATACCAAATTTAACTTCCTTACTAGTTATGAGATATGCTGTTGGAAATCTACATCTTTTACAAAGTTATAGATTTCCAACACCTCTGATTGATCATGTGGTGTGTGTGTTAACATTGTGTATAGAAATATACTGCTATCCAATAAAGGTGTATTCAGGAACTCTTGAACTGTAATTGCATGAAACTTGTGGACACATTTGCTTCAGACCTTAAAGGCTTAATATGTCCTGTTTTGATATGTATATTATTAAAATAAGTTACTGACACCACATTCCAATAATTCCTATATTGTAACTAACATTTGTTTTTATCATATTTCAATATTTGACTTAAAACACAAAGGAAAAACTAACTTCTTTCCTCATTTTAATAAATCTGTTTGATTACTGCATTTGTTTGCCATCAGAATTTATAAGGGCATCTGATAATCAAAGAATGGTTAGAAAATTATTATTTGGAATGTTTCTTTTAAGGCACTTATAAGACCACTGTTAAAGGTAACTCATGGGGATATCATTAAGAAAACAAATGTAATTAGTGAAGCATTTTTTGTTAAATTTCAGTGTATTAAGTATGTAAAGCATTTTATTGTCTTTTTTACTTATTCAGTTAATTAGTTAGCCCCTGCTATGCTTTGTTGATACAATGAATGTACCTGTTTGATGTTATAGTTCAGTTTCGAGTTATTTTTTCACAAGAATGCATGCATCAATTAATTTTTGACTAGTATTTTAGTTGTTTCTCATTGCAACTACTCAGAATCTTGATGGATATTGAATAACTTCAATGAAAAGTAGCTAAAATGAAGAAAATTAATTGACAGTGCTTTACCTGAGAATCAGATTGAAACTTGAAAATTTATTGCTTAAAAAAAAAAAAACTAATAACTCTGAAAAAAATGACTGTGTAGCGATGGGGTTACCAATATTGTAGCAGGTTGTCACCATTATGTAAGGGTGTGTACTAAATATTTAACTTTGGCAAGGAAAGGTGGGATTAAGGACAATGCGTGGACACAATGCAATTTATATTTGATGTAAATAGCATATAGTATAAAATACAAAACAGAATGTAATGATTTCAAAACATAACAATTGAATTTATTAGTGTTTGGTGTACATGCATATAAGCTGAAGATGTGATAGTTATGTCTCTTAGATTTGGAAATATTTGTACCTGAGGTCATAAAGATGAAGTAATTATTAAACTGTAGTTTAGAAGAATAAAGTTCCTTTAGCATGTTAGGAAATGTGAGCTGTAACCTTGGTAAGAGTTCAGAAGAGATTTCAGAGTTTGTACTTGCATGAAATGGTAATGTTCTTTAACGTCTGACTGCATGGTCAAGACGGGAGTTCTTGAAGATTACATCTTGGCAGCAAGGAGAAAGATGAATGAAAAAGCAAAGAGAGAGAGCTTACACGTGTTTTGTTTATATAAGATCGTGTGTCACAGTTGTTGCGTGCAGGAAGTTTGATTGGTCAGGACTGACCAGTCAGCGAGCTAGTTTTGAGTAGATTGACCAATGAATGCTTGTCGCATGATTTCTATGTACTGTGTGTATGTAATGTGATGGTATGATTCTACAACTGTAGGTAATGAGTGTCTGGTTAACAAACAAGTAACAATTGTACTTGAGATTTTGATATTCATTCATATTGTTCTCATAGGAACTATGTCTCTCATCACATTATCTTTGCTCATGTAGGATGGTCTTAGTACGATTGTCAACTTGTGAAGAAGAAGGAAAATTTATACGTGGTCATTTCATGAAAGCATTCTGGGAAGACGTCAAAAAGAGAAGTAGTAAAGTTGGGGTGAGTATATTGTTTCTTTTACTGCCATTAGCTCAAAATATGTGGTCTCAGTATGCCTCCACGTATTTTTTTCCCATTATAGCATCTTTCCCTTTTCTCATATTTTTTTCCTCACCTCTGTATGTGTCTATCTTTTGTACCAACTCCAATAATTGTTATTTTTCTGTACTTGACTTTTTAATTATGTCCATCTGTTGTATAAGAGTAAGTGTCATTGCCAACACTGTGATCTGAAACAAGATCACCAGTGAATAACATGGGCAATTCTATTAGTAAGTGGATTACATGATCATAAAAGAAGTGAATAAATAGAAAGTAGCGTGATGGCTATAGGATCACTGTTCACTCTTCTTGTCTATCCACTATTGCTATAAATTCCCTCTCTCTGCTCTACTACTATACAGATTACAATTCTCTTCTGATCATTATACTATTTGGCAATTACTACTTGAACAAGTATTACTAGTGTGGATATTATTGGAAGGCGTTACTACTAGTACCGGTATGTATGAAGAGCATTTTTGGAAGTGATAGCGAGCTTTTGAAGCGAAGCTGTCCAACATCATAAAAGTGGCGACAAGGATTTGTGAGGATTCCTTGAACTTACACTGACAGAAAAAAATGAATCTGCAAAAAGCTCAGCAGAAAAATAGAAGAATTAAAGGTCCTTATGTTTCAAAAGCTGCAATTACAACAACAGAAACAGCACCATGAACAGCAGTTGCAATTACAGCAACAAAAGTTTTTCGAGTCGTTCACTAAAACGATGGAAACTAAAACTTCAGATTCGTTTACTTCTGATGTTGTCACTAATTCAGTTACCAAGTTTCTGTACAATCCAAGTGAAGGAATAATTTTCCCATTGTAATATAGAAGTTATTAAAGAATCTTCAAGAGGGATTGTGCCCATTGGAGTGATGAGAAAAAAGTTTGATTATTGTTGAGGAAATTATCCCCTGCTGAGCACAAAAAATATGTAAACTATATTTTGCTGAAGAAACCAAGAGAAATAACTTTTGAGGAGACTACTAACACTATTGAAAATATTTGGAGACAGGAGTTCGCTGTTTAATATACGTTGGCAATGTCTCAATTTAGTGAAATCCAACAAAGAATATTTTATCATGTATGCAGGACTCATAAATCGGGAATGCGAAAAATTTAAATTGAATGTCCTAACTCCTGATCTGTTTAAATGCTTGATATTCATTCAGGGCTTAACATCTAACAAGGATGAAGAGATTAGATCAAGGAGACTTTCTAAACTGGAAATGGATCGAAAATTAACTCTCCAGAGAATAGCTGATGAGTGTCAACGCATTGTGAATTTAAAGCTTGATACTGTGAGGATTGAAGAAAAAGAAAATTCACAGGATTACAGGATTATCCAACCAACAATTCACAGGATTATCCAACCAACTAAGAGGAAAAATTACAAACGTTTTCCAACTCTTGATAAAACTATAAAGGAAGACAATAAAACCTGCTCAATACCTAATATTTTCCACAGCTGTGGTGGTAAGCATTTTAAAAAGGATTGTTTCTTCAGAAATAAGAAATACTTTGAGTGTGGGAAATTAGGACACAAGAGTGCATGTTGCAGATCCAAAAAATGGAGAAGAAATAAAATGCATGTGAACAAAATTAATACATCCAGTAATAGTAATAAATCCAAAAGGCAAATTAATTACACTTCACAGAAGAGGAAATATATTTTTGTGCAAATAAATGGTGTGAAAATTAAGTTGCAATTAGACACAGGATCAGATATCACTATTATTAACAAACAGATCTGGAGGAAAATGGGTAAACCCAGGTTATTAGCTTCTGAGAAAATCACTTATGGAGTCTCAGGGAAAAGGTTAAACTTTTTAAGCAAATTCAGCTGTAACATTTCGTTCATTGGGAAGACCAGAAAAATGGTAGTATTTGTGTTGAAAAACACACCTAATCTGCTTGGTACAGATTGGATGGCATTGTTTGATTTATGGGACGTACCTAATAACTTGTTTTGTAATAACGTAAATACTGTTGCCAGTTCTAATACAGCAAATGAAAAACTAAAAAGCAAACTGAAAAAGAGTTTTTTAGAAGTTCTTTTTCTGAAAGTCTCAGGACATGCACAAAATTAAAGGTCAAGTTTCAGTTGAAAGACAAGGTAATGTTTACATTTAAACCAAAAAGAAGTGTACCATTTGTGGCTGTAGATCTAATCAACAATGAATTGGACAGGCTGGAGAAATTGGAAGTAATATTGAGAATAGACTATTCCAAATGGGCAGCACTGACAGTCTACATTAAGAAGTAGAATACCAAAATATCAGTGTGTGCTGATTTTTCGATGGGACTAAATGAAAGTTTGAAACAACATAATTACCTGTTATTTAGTCCAGAAGAAATTTTTGCAAAACTGAAAGGAGGTAAATTTTTCTCAGAGTTGGATCTCTCAGACGCACACTTACAAATACATGTGGACGAAGACTGTTTAAAATTATTAACTATTAACACTCGTAGAGGGTTATTATAAATTCAACCATCTTCTTTTAGTGTAAAGGTTGCACCAGCTATATTCCAACAAATAATGGATGTCATGCTGTCTGGGTTGGGTTATGCTCAGGCATATTTGGACGACATATTGGTAAAAAGCAAAACCCGAAAAGAACATGCTGATGATTTAAAGAAAGTCTTCAATAGAATCAAAGATTATGGATTCAAAATAAGTGAAGAAAAGTGTGAGTTATTCATGTCCAAACTCAAATATCTAGGGCAGATTATTGATGACACTGACAGATGACTGGATCCTGCAAAAGCAAGTGCAACAAAGGATATATCCGTGCCAACTAATATTACAAAATTACAACATTCCTAGGCTTTGCAAACTATTACCATACATACCTACATACCTAAGATGCATGAGCTAAGAGCATCATTAAATAATCTACTGAAGAAGGATGTCAAGTGGAACTGGACAAAAAAATGTCAAAGTGCGTTCGAGCAGATTAAGAAGGTAGTAACATCAGAGTTGTCACTGACTCATTTCGACACTAACCTGAAAATTGTCGTTGCATCTGATGCAAGTGATACAGGGATTTGAGCAGTGGTATTACATAAGTATGGCAACAGATCAACGAAGCCAATAGCGTATGCTTCAAGGTCGTTAATTGCGGCTGAAAGATACTAAAGTCAAATAGGAAAAGAAGCATTGGCTATTATATCTGCAATGAAGAAATTTCACAAGTTCTTACATGGACAGGAATTTATTCTTCAAACGGACCATCAACCGTTGTTATTAATTTATGGATCTAAAAAAGGTGTTCCTATGCATATGGTGAATAGACTGCAGCACTGGGGAACAATTCTATTGGATTATAACTACAAGATAGTTTCTTAGACAGTAAAAATTATAAGTCATGCAGACAGTTTGTCTTGATTAGTATCAAGATGCTGCGAACCACTGGAAGACACAGTAATTGCAGCAATTAGGGACAAAAGCAAAATAAGCAATGTACTATATAATATGGTCTGGTGTTCCTGCTATATATTTAGAGATTCTTCATAAAATCCAAAGAAGTGTTATTGGTCCTGACATCTTGGCTTCAGTTACTTTCCCACTGCCATAACATAGCTTTCCTGAGCCTTTTCTATAAATACTTTCATGGTAATTGTTCTGCTAAACTTTCCTCTATGGTATGTAGACTTTATGAATTTAAGTGTAGTACTAGATTGGCAGCAAGGTCTTGTCATTTTACATCTGAAATTGCTGGATATAACCATGAGTTTTATGCTAAGTTTCTTATAGTGCACTTCTCAGATGTGGAACTCTCTTCTGGCTTCTTGCTTCCCTGTCAACTTTGATCTTCCAAAATTTAAATGCAATATCAATCATTATCTTCTGTCTTAATTTCTGTTCTTTTATTGTTCTCTCTTCTTAATGTTTTTCTCATTCATATGCTTTCAGATTCAGTAACCCCATGCATCTTAGATTTATTGCAATGAAATAATAAAAAACAAATTTATCAATCATTTTTTCCAGAGATCACCATCTCGACAAGAAGAATTAAAACTTCTTAATTATCATTTCAACGCCGCTATCTTCAACTATGATGAGGTATGGACTTCTGAATTATGAAAAAAATTGTAATGTTCTGTTTGCAGACTTTTCAGAAGAAAAACTATGTCTGTTGAATCTAATAGTAACAAATTGAAAGAGGAAACAATATCAATTTGTCTATCAGACAATTTTAAAATGCAAGAGTTGAAAGTAACTTGGAAGACTCTGTGTCAGTTATCAATATTTGATTAACCAACTATAGTTATTTTGCTAATATTTTATACTTATTTTCATCATTCTCAGAACAGAAATGATTTTCAATTGCATTATTTTTTTCTTTGTGCAAAGTAAGTAGAAATAAAATAAAAAGTGCAGTAAAATTGTATGGAGAAAGCAAAGTACAAAAAGGAAATGAATAAAAAAAACAAATTAGCAGACCACACCCAGCAGGTTGACATTTAGTAGTTCTTTGGAATTTTCTAAGTTAGCTGCCATTTAGTTTGATTGACCAAAAGAGGAGGCATTTAACTTTTTTTTTTCATTTTTTTTTAATATTTAGATTGTATTCATAATGCTTTTGAAGGTTAATTATGTCACAATTTGAGAGAAAAGAAAAAATACTGTTGTTAAACAAATTCTGATAACCTCCAAAGTATGTGTAATACCATGATGACCACCAAACTAAAGAAAATCCAAGGATGTGTCCATATGCCAACAATTTATGGGAATTCTAAGAAATATTTTTTTTTTATTCCACTGTAAATTATTAATACAATAATAGTGTAGATACAATTAATGAATGGATTTTATAAATGGGAGTCACCATTGATTTTGATGCCCAAGAGTATACTTTCTATAACTACTCGCTAATTTAATTACTCGCCCAAATTTTGGGCCATTGTTTGCTAGTTGACTCTAAACAAATGAGAGTAACACCCAAATTTCAATGATGTCACAGAGTAAAAGGGAGTTTATATAGTTTTAGGCCTTGGGCCAGCACCTGGTTAGGTTTTAAATGCTGGTTCTTATGTGATCACTGTGGTATGATGGAAAAGAAAATGTAATGTGATCAAAAAGTAAACCCATTGTCAAAAAATTACAAATAAAAACAGTTAAAGGAATCATTTTGGTTTATTCATATGCTTCAACAATTAGATTTCTGATACCAGACTTTAGAAAAAGAGAAAAGTGTCAAATAGAGCTCCCCTTGTAATGCTCACTAGGGTGGACTGACTACCTGGCAAAAAAAAAAATCACCTCCCACCCAAAAAATGTTATTCTTTTATGGAGTTTGAACTCCTCCTTCCTACCAGCTTAATTAGAAAAGCGGGAGGCATGGTGGAGTAATGAATAGCGGCTTGGATTGAGGAATCAGAGCCGAGTTCGAATTCCAATTAAATCCATTACATTCACTTACGTGCTAATACCCTTGGGAAAGGTATGAATCCTCTTCTTTTCCCTCCAGCTATGGGTAAATAGCATAACAGACTGGGTTCTATAGCTTTGAATGGCAACTGGTCTACCACAGAAAGAAATGGCAACCTACTGCAGGAGAAAAATCTGCCTAGTCAGTCATGTATCAAAAGCGTGTATCACGTATGGCACATAACTGACTGACCATGAGCATTGATCTGTCATGATCAATTAAAGTGTTATTCTTCCAATATCAGCTTATTTAATGAGCATTATCCTATATCATTACATTTATAGAAATACATTTTCTATGCAAAGAAGGAAAGCATTGATTCTGAATTTGATAACACCTTAATTCTTACTTCAATTTGTCTCTGTAGTTTGAACTCTATCAATCTGTTTTTCAACATTGTGTTAAAAAAAACAAAAAATCAAAAATCCTAAAAATTGATTTCAACAATCATCAAAGTATTTAAACACTGCAATTGACTTTTTGATTTGATTTTTTTAATGTCTCAATCAAAGAATTGGGCTTGGCTCTCAAATTTAAAGTTATTCATTACCTCACACACTTATCAAACAGCACCTGGTATTCTTAAGTTCACTCATCATACTGACCAGGCTTGATGTTGCTTAACTTTTTTGGAGAACCAGTGTTTCAACAATGCCATAATTTAAACCACTGATTAAGTTGTAAAAATTCAACAACAAATTTCTCGATTTGCATTTGTATTCAAAAATGGGGTTTTATCATGCATTTGACAATGCAATAATAACAAACCCAATCTCAATTGAATTCATTAATGGTACTAATGAACATTGTCTTTAAGCTCTCATTGTTTTCAAATCTCCTCATTACCTAACTTTTTCGTTCTGAACAAATGTTATTCAACCTTGTAGCAGCACATAACCATATCTTCTTCTCATATATTAGAATTATATTCTTCCAAGCTCTGATACTACTGAATGCCTAGATCTAATAGAGGAGCCATGTTGGTCCACAAAACCATACATGTCTGGTGAGGACCCCTATATGGAAACAGTTGACCTCATTAACCCCATCCCCCTGCACAAATGTGAAAGATGGTGATCATTAAGCATTTCATAGAATCCCCAGGCTTGTTGTTCCTTCAATTTACTGATGATAATGACAAGAAGGCCTATTTGATGATATAGTATTCATGGTCTTGAACAAGAAAATCAGCATCCTCTATCAAGTATTCCATGAACACTATGATCTGCAATTAAAGCAGTGATGGCCTCTCTGAATCCACATAAAAATTAATGAATTGTAAATACCAAACATTTCAAATACTTCAGTGTATGGATAATTTATTGATAAATTGAACACACAGTACTAAATTTGCTACAAAACTAAAATATTAACCTAAGAACTTTAGTCATGTTCTTAAATAGCCTTATTTGGAACTTTCATATGGATGTCATGTTGGCACCAAACATTTCAGAAAATTCAACAACAATCACTTTCTCATATCGATTAAAAATGGCTTTAAAAGAAGGAAACCTGTAAGTTATGAAATTGACCCTCTGAAACGTGCAAATTCCAAAGAATGGGGTTTTAATCATGACTTTCCCCATTAATAGACAATGGAAGCAATAACAAAAAGATAATCCTGACAAAGAATCATATACTGTGCCACACCACTGATGGAATTGTTAAACATATTTCTTGACACAGAGGTGACTCTTCAAACAAATTGAATTCATTATGACTTGTTGAAAGTACTCAAATGAACATTGTCTTTAAACTAAGACCTCCAACAGATTAATCTGGCATTGTTTTCTGCCAAGAAAGTGACACTTGCAGTTCTCCTCATTTACCTAAAATAAAAACAAGTTTATTTTTGTTTATGTTCAGTGTTTCTGAATATTAAACTAAACAAAAATATTTCTCTAAACCATTAAAGAACATTGGTGTCATCAATTTTAACATATGATGGCATATATATGTCATCTGGTCAAACATTGAATGTAAAAAAAATTCTCAGACTTTTAGAATCCCTGAAAATGCATACTTTTGGCAAATAGAAATACATGATACCTATTATTTGTCCAATTGTTTCCCCAATGACACTGGCCCAGTGGATAAAAAGCAGCACATAACCATATCTTCTTCAGAGGGAACAAAAATCTTGGCGAGTTGAGTTACTAAAGGGGAAATAACTGAAATATTAGAATTATATTCTTCTAAAAAAGTGTTTTGGTTCTGATACATATATCACCTGCTGGAGCATGCCTATATTCAATAAAGATGAGGACAACAGTCTGAACAATCTAAAACAAAATTTAATTATAGCATAAATGGACCATGTCTGTTCTGTGAGGACCTGTCTTTTAACACAATATATGGACAAGTCCAACAAAAAATGTCTGCACTAAGTAGGACCATCTCTTTTGGATCCATTTCAGACCTCATTTCAGGAGGAAATGAGAGCCCACCCCCACCCCCAACCTTACCTGGGGTGGTTGCACCTATCAGGGTCCCAGCTATGGGCAAATAGTTAACCCACAAACTATGAAAGTGTAAAAATGTTTTTATACCAGCAATGCTTTGTAAGAAAATTATTACCAGCAATAAATTTTTGAAAAAAAAAAATATTACCATCAATACATTTTTAGAAAAATTATTACAGCGATAAAAATCTTGTTGGTATTAGATAACCCATTGAGGTTGATATGCCATAAACCAAACTAAACCTGTTAGGATCCCAGCTATGAGCAAATAGTTAACCCCCAAATTGGGGTCAAAACACTATGAAAGTATAAAAATAGGTTTTAATACCATCAATACATTTTTGAAAAAAAATATTATCAGCAATAAAAATCTTGTTGGCAACCCACTGAGGTTGATAAGCCATAAAACGAATCAAAACTGAGCTCTCTTACCTCATTGTATATCCCCCAAATTTCAGTTGATTATAAATATTAATTTCCTTTCAGTTCCTACTCATAAAACTTCCTCATTGCTCACATGTTCAATCTATATTAATCTCATTGGTAAAACCATATTGGTGTCGCTTCAATAAAATCAACTACACTTCATATCATGTACAAACATTTTTGGAGGTATTTTATCAAAGAGGAAATATTTGTTTTTATTATTTTATTGCAATTACTGAATCATTTATTTTCCGAATGTTCAAGTCGTTATTTTTTTCCCCCTCACCTTTTTTTAGGGTTTATTAAGTGATGATCGTGTTTTGGCCAGTTCTTTATGGAGAATCTTTTTTGAAGACAAAGTGGCTGAGCCACACTTGCTTGAGCTGATGGTCCAGTATGTAAGGAAACAAGTAAGCAGACATTTTTCTTCAATATTTGTAATATCTCTTCTCCAAGAACTTGTTTACACAAATTTTCAAACAAAAATACAACTCACATAAATTTAAAAAAAAAAAAAAAATTTGTACTCTTTTCTAAGTTTTAACTTTCTACTTTTATTAATATTTATTTTATTTTTTTTTTACTCTTTACAGGTAAAACACCTTAATGACCAACAAGATGATGTAATACTTCAGTCTGGACTTATCTCTTTTCTGCCATTTAACAGTGATGTGGAGGATAAAGTAAAGATCGAAAGGATATGGAAGAGAGTTAAAGAATCAGATTTACTAATAAAACCATAAAAAGAAAAAGATTTCTTTAAAAATAATTTTTTTTTTCCCTTTTGTTTGTATTTCCTGTTTTTTAGTCATCAAGCTTCATGACTCGGATGATAGCTAAAGATCTTACAAATGTTGATTGATTTTATAATTCAATACATTTGTTAGATTAAGAAAATAATTCTTGGTGGCATTGTTTTAAAGTATTGTAAACCATAATTTTTTATTTTTTTTTATAGAAAATAATTAAACTTCATTGTCTTTGTTTTTTTTTTTCCTCTATTTTTTTTTTTTTTAATCATATGTAATTTTCTCAATGAATGAAGTACAAACCAAAACAAGGATGTAATTTTCATGAACAGCAGGACTGCCAAGAAAAAAAATTATTAGAAAAAAAATTCTTTAGCTTAACCAAATCTTTATCGAACAAAGATACCATCATTTGACAGATTGTGCCTTCTATTGGTATGGTGTTTTTTAAGGACGATAATACTTTTTTTTTTTTGCTTCTTTTTCTTATCAATTCACCTGAAGCAAAAATATAGAGTTAAAGTAGACTTTAAAAGAATCTGAAAATCCAATCCTAAGCAGGAATCAAGGAATAAACCTTTACTCCTGTTCAAAACACTGGCGAGAAGTGTGACCTGAAAAATAGGTGAACCTATCTACTCCTATTGAGGGAAAAAAAAAAATAAAGTAAATAAAATTTTAGGCAGAAATGTTGCATATAAGAAAATAGGGATAAAAAAATAGAAGGAAAAATAAAAATAAGATGAAATTAAGAATAATAAGAATGCAGTGGAGTTCCAGATGTAGAATTGACATGAAATATATGTATTTTGTTGGAACTGACAGTATGATGTTATCTATTAAGATTTAACTTAGTATAACTTCAAATATCCTCTATCAAAATAGAATTGAGTAGGGAATTAACATTTGTACTTTTTTTTTTGTAAAAAAAAAGAAAGTACAAGAAATATGACAAGATATGTATAAAAATAAGTCCAAATTTTTAGTCAGACTGCTAGCAAAAGATGATTAGAAGTCAAAATATACATTTACTCATTCAAAAATGAATACACTTAAATAAAATCAATCATGGAACAAACAAAATTAAATAAGAAAATTCTCTCTCCTCTACCAAAACCGTGTCCACATTACCTGATCATTTAGTCAAACTGAAAATTAATAAAACCATCTTGGGAATTGTTACATCAAATAAAAATGTTTTATTTTTCTCAGCAATTTACCAATTTTAATAAAAATCTGTTTTGCAGTAGAATAGCTTTTAGTGATACATAAGCAAGAATGGCTATCTTGGATATTTGCTGGTAATCAAAGCATTTCTTACATATTTTGTTTTTCATAATATTTTTATGTTTCATTTGCTTCATGTCTGACTCCACTATTTAATAAAAGTGGTATTAATTCAGTGTCAGAAGTATATACATTGAAGCTTGGAAAAAGCCATATCTTTGAGATCAATGCATTTACAAACGTGAGACTGGCTTCAGTGAAGAAAAGCCATTTTCTTTTCATGTCTTTTTTGCATGTTCTAACATTTATATTAAAGGTCAAGTTAAATGTTTAAAAGGTTAAATTGATTTTCAGTTTAACATTATGGTCCTTAAAGAACATTATGCCAATGGAAGGTAAAATATGTTTAATGGTGTCCTTATATGGGAAAGATCTGTTTAAGCTAAAAGGATATTTTACAAAGCTTTTTTTTTCTAGTGTAGTTTGTCTTAGTTTTTGCAAAGATTACATTTTTCCCTTTTAGATTGTATTAGGGCTCTTTTTACAATGTACATATAATCCAAAAATGAAGTTCAACATTATGACACCAAATGTTCAACTGCTAAACTGAACCTGAATTTTTGTTCTTGCCTTTATGCAAACATGTGGGTAATTTTAAAATACAGCTTTAAAAAAGAAAAAAATGTTTACTTTATCAAATTAAGTTTCCATCTTAAGGTTTTGTCAATTTCACTTATATATATCAGGTCATCTCATCAGTTCTGTCCGAATTTTAACTTTTTGTTAAAATGAACAAAATTTAAAGAGTATTTTATAATGTCTAATGGAGCTGAACATTATTTTTATGTTTAGATGCATTTAAGCTGATCAAATTTTATTTCAGAGAACAATAAAATTAAATTTTGTTTGATTAAAACCCAGAAGTACCCAAGAATCATTTGAGGCACATAATGCTTTATGAGTTCAAGAAAGGAAACTCAGCAGCCGAAGCGGCTAAAAACATTCACTCAGTTTATGAAGAGGAATGTGTGAATGAAAGAACTTGCAGAAGATGGTTTGCAAAATTCTGAGGTGGAGATTTCACCCTTGAAGATGAAGATTGAACCGGACGTCCAGTTGAGTTTGATGAAAAGCTTCTTGAAGCAGCTCTTGAAGAAAATCCTGCTTTATCAGTTGAGGAATTGGCAGTGGTTCTCAGTTCAAACAATACAACTGTTCATCATCATCATCCTCAACAACTTGGAAAAGTTCCTAAACTTGGAAAATGGATGCCTCATGAATTGTCTGAAAACAACCTCAAATCCCAAGTTGACATCTGCTCTTCTCTCCATTCTCGCCAACTTGTTTCACCTTTTTTGGATAGACTTGTGACTGGCAATGAAAAATGGATCTTTTATCGAAATGTTAAGCATTGTAGACAGTGGCTTGGTAAAGGGGAAGGACCCCAGCCACAGCCGAGAAGGGAAGGGAACTTCATGGGCAAAATGTTCTTTCAATCTGGTGGGATCGCCTAGGAATAATTCACTTTGAATTATTACCACTTAATGCAACAATTAATGCTCAAATATACTGTCAGCAATTAGAGCATTTGAACCAAGCTTTGAGGAAAAAAAGACCAGCTCTAGTGAATTGAAAAGAGGTGATGTTTCATCAGGACAATGCGTAACCCCACACAGCAAGAATCACGTCACAAAAGATCGAACAACTTGGTTGGGAGAAAATTCCTCATCCACTTTATTCTCCCGATCTTGCTCCTTTAGACTACCATTTGTTTTGTAGCTTACAGAATCATTTGGAAGAAACAGCTTTTGTAACACAGGAAGAGGTTAAAACTGACATTTGTGAGTTCTTCAAATCAAAGCCAAAAGAATTTTACAGTAATGGAATTAGTAAGCTTGTTAATAGATGGAAGGAAGTCATAGATAATCAGGGAAAATACATTGTTGATTGAATCTGTAATTAAATGTAACATTTGATCACTTGTTTTCTTTATTCAAAATTCGGACAGAACTTATGGGATGACCTGATAAAACTAGTTGAATTACCCACACCTTGCTGCATGTCACACTTTTTTTTTTTGTAAGAAAATGATGATTTAATTTTAAATCATTGTTATAATTTGTAGAGAAAAATGATACATTTCAATATTACACAATGATCTTGCTAATATGACTTCTATCTTTTTGATTTCTCCTATATTTTTGGATGGGAGCCATTCCCTTGTTCAAATTTAAATCAAAGGGAAAAAAATACTTTTCAGTATGGGGGTGTGCAAAAACAGCTTGATCTGATGATCCCTTTCATATGTAAGTGATGCAATATTTGATTTAATGAAATGATGAGCCAATTTCAACATTGATATGACAGTTGAATTTTCACAGGAAATATGTATTTTAAGGAACTACACACTGATTGGTAATTTCTTGCAAGTTTGCTAAAATGTTAGGAAAAAATGGCTGTCAATTGGAGAGAGAGAGAGAGAGAGAGAGAAACAGAAAAAATAACATAGTGAAATAATACTTGACCCCCTCAAAGTCTACTTCCCTTTGAGGGGTCAAATATTATTTCACAAGTGCAGACATATCAATTAAGTTTCTAACTAGATATTTTTTTGTAACTGCAATTTTAGTTGTTTTGATATTGAAGAGGTTATTTGTGACCAACTCCAGACTTCCAAACCTTAACAAACTTGACAGTTAACTTGGAAAAATAAAAGCATTGGATTAATTTCTACAATCCTGAAGAAATTAATGGAGAATTTATTTTATTGTTGTTTAATATTTATCAAGATTTTTGGCTTTTTATTACTGAGAAATTATTTATTTTTTAATCTTTTTGTCCAAGTTTTTCTTGTTTTGTTTGAATTTTTCTCCAATGATTTGCTTGAAGATGGAGGAATTCATTTGTAACCCTCCAGCTTGTCAACCCAAGATTAAAGATAAGTATTAATCAAATATATTTTTAGATATTTATGTAGACATATGTGAAATATATGAATTCTCAAAAAATATCGGTAGAATGGTGGTAAAGGCAATTACAAATTTATTTGATTTCCAATTTTATCAATTACTTTTGTCAAAATGTTTTGGCATTAAGTAACATACAAAGGGTTGATAAGCCATAAAAACAATCAGTTACTTTTGTACAAAATGTTGAGCTGTTAAAATGTTTTACAATTTTTAATAGCCTGTTTAATCTCCTTAAAATACATCAAAGTAGGCAGTAAAATTGTTGTAAAATAAAAACAATCGAAAAGATGATTTCATCTTTGATGTTTCAAAAGGTTAAAAGTAAAACATTGCTATTTATTTGAAGTTCCTTGATGAAATATTGTCATTATTCCAACTCATTTTTGTTTCAGTTGCAACATTTTGACTGGTACACTCTACCAAATGTATGACACATCCAATAATCTACAAAGAACTTTTAAATAGAAACCTTTATACTTTGTTCATGAATTTGATTTATTTAACAGTAAAAAATTCCCAGATTAAAAATTTTGCAATCTTCACAAACATTTGGGTATGCAAAGAATTTTGGCACCAATTTCATGAACAACCATGAATGGTTTCTTTATTCATTGTCCAGAAAATCTTATTGTCTAGTCATGTGAATTGCATAACTAAATAATCAATAACGAAATTGTTTGACTTATAACCCAATATAGTATAAGACAAGGTTAGCCAATCTTTGTGAATATTGATTGTGCCCCCTCCCAGCAACTGAAAAGATTTTTCTTAGCTGCAGGAAGAGGCTTGTCACACCTG